GTTACACTACAGTGATTAGAGAAGATAGCAGACATTACAATCACTATTTTATTGCATACCTTAAGCGAAAGCGCAAGGTATGTTCTACTATCGCCTAAAAATTAAGATTCCAACGTTTTATCGAATAAAATCGTTCTAGCAATGATATTATACATATAAATGATATAAAAAGCACATTGTTAGAAAGATAAATGATTGTTGAACTTATTAATTATTTTTTTAATCGATTAATTACTATTTTTAAATAAAAAAGGGGTTTTAGTGGCTTATGGTGCATGTATTTATCATGACCCCAAGGCTTGTAAACACGATATCTTTTGAAAATATCAATTGTTTAACTCAATCTATTTTTTAATCTCTTCATCTATCATGTGGTAACCCACTGAATGTAAATGGCAGTGTAATTTTGTTTTGTTTAGCTATAATTAATTTTTTTCGGCTCCAAAATAGCGAAATTTTCGTTGATTTGGTAGCCTTGTATGTAAATTATTTCTGTAAATGGGGAGCTACAGCCACAGAGTAGTTTAGTTCGGCTTATAAGAAGTACTCTGTGGTTCGGCTTCAGTCGCCGTCGTAAGTGGACATTGTTTCGGTTGTTTGCAGCGGCTCAAAAAGATCTCTGTACAAATACACAATATTCGAATAACCAAATTTCTTAAATACTTGATTATAATAATAATAAGAGATTTTTTTATTACAATATTTTAAAAGCACAGAATAAATAATAGTAGTACGTACTAAAAGTAAATAGTATAAATTTTTTTGTCATGGGTGACATTTTCATAGTTTTCGAGGGTGTTGAAACCGATAGTTGTTAGTAGTTGTCGAAATGTAAATCCAAGATGGCAGCCGCAATAGGTATCAATTTTTTCATCATGGGTGTCTTTCTCATGGTTTTCGCGGGTATTGAAGCCGATAGTGCTGTCGAAATGTAAATCCAAGGTGGCGGCTGCAATAGGTATGATTTTTTTCATCATGGGTGTCATTTTCATGGGTTTCGAGGGTGTTGAAGCCGATAGTGTTGTCGAAATGTAAATCCAAGATGGCGGCTGCAATAGGTATCAATTTTTCATCATGGGTGTCATTTTCATTGTTTTCGAGGGTGTTGAAGCCGATAGTGCTGTAGAAATGTATTTAAACTACTTTAAAAATTCCGTATAATCATTTTATACGTAATTTTTTTAATGCGCTTAAGGTATGCCCAATTGGATTTACCAATATATTTTAATTTATGCCTTCTCTTGATAGTATTCTGCCAAGTAAAGTCTTCTTAAGAGCTGGTATCAAAATAAAATTTCCTACAGAAATAAGAGAATAGATGTATAGGACGTTATAGTTTTATTGTAGTAAAATAAATTACTTTATATTATCCTCAATTAAGTATCAAAATGCAGATGCGTTGTCACCCCTGAGGACTGAGATGGAATGACTCGTTATCAGTAAAAAGGTTCTCTGGTTCTCTAATCTCTACACTCACCATACGAAACACAGCAGCATTAAGCTGCTATTTTACGCTGGTACTCTGTGAGTACACAAAGTAAAAATCTTATTTAAGTTACGTCATATGTGGTATATTATGATTGCACGATTAGCACGAATAGGTCAGCTCAACCAGGAAGGGACCACGCCATCATAGAATACCAGCGTATTACGAGTATAGCAGCTTACTTCTGCTTTGTTTCGTATGGTGAGTGTAGAAAACCGGTAACCCTTTTATTGAAAAGTAGGCATTCCATCTTAGTCCGTAAGGGTGGCAACGCATCAGTTTTAATTCTTAATCGAGGATAGATGTAGTTGTCTATGAACACAGCAAAGCATCCACTTATCACCAAGTGGACAGTACTTGTTTGCCACCCTTGTTCTATATTAAAAAGGTTAAACGGAAAATTGATCAAGTTTTGAAACACTACATAATTACAACTTTTAATAAATTAAAAACCGACTTCAAACTGCTAAAAAAGAAGTTATCTATTTGCTACCCTTAGGGGTAGAATTTTTTCTCCAAATTTATATGTTTAAAGAAGTAAAAAAGAATCATCAAAATTGGTTCACAATTTGCGAAGCACTCGAATTGAGAACCTCCTCCTTTTTGAAGTCGGTTTAAAATAATCTAAGCTCAAATACTATGATGTTTATGATTATTTATGATTATTACTACTACTGCAACTATTAACACCATTATAACATGTCGTTGGGTAACATCAAAACTTTAATCTTTTGAGGGTTACAAAGCGAAATAAAACCATGTAATTACTATAAAAATATTTATTATCGTACAATACGTAGCGTACAAACCACACCACAACACAAAAAGTCAGGTGCGTTTATAAATGCTGCGCAATAATAATTGCTAACTAGCAACTTGGCTACACAGTCATTGCTATATGTACATTATGTACAATTTTATAACGATTAAGCATTGTCTATAAAAGCATTGTTATCACCACCATTCAGGAGGTAACCAGATATCACAGAGGTAACCATGTTTACAACAATAATTTCTTATGGCTACAGCAACTGTAAAGGAACTCAATCAGAGGAAAGGCCCGAGTTAAAGAGCTTGCGGCGTGCAGCTTTAGGCCTTTGGAGCGCGTGCAAGAAAACAAACTCGAGCGGCTGTCACTCAGGACGTATAAATAAATACAAGAGTATGTTTTGTCATGCACCAAAACGCCCCACCCCGTTACACGCTTCAAACGAGTAAATCAAATTAAAAAAAATGAAAATTAAGAGGCAAGGTTATAAAAATTATAATAATATGCGTAAAAAAATATTTTGATTAATACTTTGTTATGTATCTTTTAATGAAATGTTTGAAATCATTCCTGGGACCGGTTCCTCCGGATTTTAGGCTTTTAAGATTGTTTTATCACTTGATACTAAAAAATTCACCAATAAATGCTTGTTATATTAAAATATTAAATTAGATATATTATTTTATAAAAATATGTTCAAACATTCCTCATGATTAACAACAACAATGAAAATATCATTATAAAACAAAACTTATTAAATTGTGTTGGTGCCTTCCAAATAACAGATGTTATTTGGAAGGCACCAACACAACAAGTATGGGTTATAATATATATTTATAATAAGTTATTGTGATAATAAAAAGGAGTACAACGCTGAGTTCGATACAGAATGCTTCTGCATAAATTCGTACTATACGAGTATAACATTTTAATAGCCTTAGCTTCTTATAAATTTAGGAAAGGCTGTTTTGAGACAAACAAAATTACAGTACATACATCTATCTGAAGACCAAAATTATTTTATAAATATATTTACTAGTGTTTAAAAATTAAGTTAACTTTTAAAATGCATGAATAAATACCGACACTTAGTAGAGGCATATACCACAACCCTTTAATATACTTTATAAAATGCGTTAAGCAGGAAAACATATTATTTGGATACCACGCACGCACGAACGCACGAACTTCCACGTACCAGGGTCCATCCAAAACTACACCTAAATTTAAAAGACCAGAATGTTCCTATAACTAATTTTAGTACAACAGTCGGTCCATAACGGAAATTAAAACAACTTATTGTCATATCATACAATTGCAGCTAAATGTATTTTTTATTAATTTGCATCAATATTTATATTATGTTACAAAGCTTTAATTCAAAACAATTTTCAGACTTGTTATATATTTTGCTTTTAAATTATTAAATATCGGGATGTATTAAAATTGAAAAATAACACTATCAATATAATCATTTTGTGGTTGAGTCGCCTTTTTATTTTATTTTTATAGAATAAGGGTGACAACCGAGAACACAGTCCACCTAATAGTAACTGACCCATAAGCATCTAAATCAACCCTCGATTAAGAATCCAAATGTATAGGCGACCACTGAGGACTAAGACGAAATGTCTCGTTACCAGTAAAAAGGGCCCCCGGGTCACTACACTCACCATATCAATGAAACACAGCGGCATCAAGCTGCTATTTTACACTAGTGTTCTGCGAGAGCGTGGTCCTACCGCGGTCGATCCGACCCAATCTAGCTGCAGCCATAAAGTAACTATGGCGTGGCTCTACCATTTATCAACGGTGCATCACAAACGTTTGTCACTCTAGATTCTATGCGAGGGCTACAAATTAAAAATAGGAGCAATTGTATAAAAAATTTATACAAAAAATTCCGGCCACTGCATCGAAAGCATTGCGCATTATTAAAGATACAGTATTATATAAATATTTTTTAAAAATACGTTATCAAAGTCGAAAATTCTTTTCGTTGTTTTAATTGAAGTTATATTTCAAGAACAAATTACTTATTAGGGTCATAACATTCGGTTTCTGTTTTTTTTTTTAATTTTATCTATATCGTACTTCAATTACTAAGGTGCGATGAATTTTTAAAACACCATATGGTTATTCGTTTGAACTTTTAATACAAAAATGTTGTAAGAAGCAATCACTAATCAAACATTTTAAATTACATTTATAATTATAATTAATTGATTTTATAGGCTCCTATATCAAAATGCGCAGGTTACGGGTGTAGTGGACGGAAAATTTGTATTGAAGACCAGCGATATCGCTCAGCGTTTTATTGTCATTTAAATCATTAAATTCAATCATAATTTTAAGGAACGGGAGATTTTTTTTTAAATCTATTATAAGCCAGTTCTTAAAAAGAAAATACATAAGCACTAACTTTGTGTAAGAGTGCCTTGAAACACTATCCATGATAATTTAGTGACATTCTAAACACTGATGCTGATGAATGTTTTCTATTCAGTACATATAAGGTATGTCTTTAATATTTTCTAGAACTTTCGATTTTGCTTATTTGACATACAATGCGAGTATAGCATAACATATAAAGAATGGCCTCAATCGAGAACATTTGAACCAAAATTATATTTTGCATTCAACATAAACGCGAACAAGAAAATAATCACATTGTAAGACTTGTACTTAAATTATCGAATCTTATTCGCCTGGACAATTTGATTGGACAAAAAGAACGCGAATTTATCAAACAAGCGAGAATCCTTGTGTTTGTTGTATTGCCTGAAGGAGGTAATATTTAAGCCGTTCTTTAGTCTTATATCGCGGTAGATCGAGGAGATTGAAGCAAGTGTGAGCCACGGGGAAAAATCTATCATCTGCTACCGGCTGTATTCGAATCTGAAAACAAAAATATAACACTATAATCATCGAACACGGAGTTTCTATTTAATCGACAGAAATGCCATTTGGTGACAGAAGTTTCCGGTGAAATAGTATATCTATTCTCGATCACACAGTGGCAATCCACACGAAAATGATAGATGTAACGTTACACGCATACTTATTTACTAACTATTATACGAGTACACGTTTCTGAAAATACTTTTTTTTATAGGAAAAGGGTGACAAACGAGCACACAGTCCACCTGATGGTAAGTGGTTGCTGCGGCCCATAGACATCTATATCTATCCTCGTTTGCGAATCAAAATGCAGATGCGTTGTCACCCGTGAGGACTAAGATGGAATGCCTCATTTCCAGTAAAAAGGGCCTCCGGCCACCTGCACTCACCAAGCGAAACGCGGAGGTAAACCACTACTTCACGCTGGTATTGTGTGAGGTCGTGGTACCACCCCGGTTCGAGCCGGCCCATCCGTGCGACAGCAAAAGCTGCCGCGTGGCTCTACCACTGTTAAGCTTTCGTTTATATCTCTACTAGAATTCACTTAATGTCAGCCTAATAAACTTAAAAATGTTGGCAACATTCTCTTCGTTAATGAACTGGGGTCGCCAAATGGGGGCTAATAATTTCCCGCTGACCAGATGTCGCTAGTTGGGACAGATGTGAACTTATTGATGAGACAGATGGTTATAGAGTGCCATTATCACTGAAAAGTTGCGTTATTAAAGATTTTCGGTTTCTAGTTCATATGTACACTAAACTAATCCTCAGTGGTGTGCTCTTCTTTTAACAATTAAACTTCTTCGCCACGAGATCTGTCAAATATATCACCTAAATCCAAAGTATCGCTATCCTGGCGACAGAATAAGTTGTAGAAGCCCTGATTACATGTGTCGGAAAACCGAAACAATTATGCACATGTGAATATCACCATAAGACCTTATCTAAAATTAGATCGTGTGGGGTCATTTATCAATATATAAATAGTTAAAACATTGCCCAAAGCCGTGGTAGCTCAGGAGCTCAGCGCTTGGCGTAAAGAGCAATGGCAGAAAAATAGTTGACAAAAATTATAGCGTCTAGAAATAAGTTATATATAAAATGAGTTTTATTATTTTTCTATGATTTTTCAAATAAAAATGTATTTTAATTAAAGCCACAGAAAAAAACAAACATGTTTGGGAATATCAAATGACTTAAATAATTTGACTCTATTCAAATGTTGCCATTTAGTATATTTATACTATTTTCGTAAACACTTTGTAAGACTACCAACACAACACACGAAATATTTTTATATTAAGTTATTATTAGTAATAACTGTACTATCAGTAATAATAAAAATAAAAGTGATATGGCTGAGAATAAGTCTCTTACAAAGAATTTCCTACAATAATACATTATCTCAATCATAGTACTATGTAACAATTCCATTTAATGTTATGCCAACACTAGCTAAAATAAAATGTCACTGTTTTTTTTTACTGGCTTTACGGCTCTGGGTTCTAGCCCTTCTGAGAATGTCACTATGATACAAAAGACCTGGAACCATGCCAGAAATATACATTTATAGTATGCAAATATATAATAGAGATACAATAATCTAAAAACTCTCAATTATGTATTATGTATTAAACTAACATCCAACAACCACAGGAAGCATGACTTTTTCCAAGTGACATAGGACATAAATTAAAAAGTTCAAATGTAAATATCTTTTTTTTGACGCCTTCTCAATACGAAATTCTTTGACAGAGTTATTAAGGGACTGAGGCTTAACATTTTAAGATATTTTTGGTATATAGACGCTACCATTTCTTCTCAACTAATTTTATGTATGAAAGTTTGCCATTGTTCTTTCATAGTACACGAACAACTCAGGTTCGATCCCCGCCGACACCGATTAAATTGTTAAATGCAATTTCAAGGGCTGATTTACAACGTGCGGTGAAGGAAAACATTGTGAGGAAACCGTCATGCCTGAGAAATAAGAAAAAAATATTTCGAAGACAGATGAAGTTCTGCAACACGCACTGGGGCAGCGCCTAAAACCCTCTCAGAAATGAGAGGAGGTCTGTGCCCGGCTGTGGGATGTATATACGCTATACATTTAAATAGTTAATACATTTGCTATAATGTCTACAACAGTAACTAAAATGGATGAAAATATAGTGGACATCATTCATTACAAGTTACAGCCTATCAAAAGCCCAATGCTGAACATAAGGATTCCTAATAAATTAACTCACAGTCAGAATATTTAGTATTAACGCGCTTGGCAGACGGACATACAACCGCTGTTTTTTTTTTGAGTTTTAACAGGAAGATACCGTTGTTCATCTCCTATTTTTTTTGTCTGTAGCCTAAAATAGTACTCAATACTAGGATTTGGGTCCCAGGAAGTCTAGTGTCTAAAGTCCCGGGACTTTTCGTAATTTTAGTTGTCTCGAGTCCCGGGACTTTCGGGTCGAGACTCGATACGAGACAAGACTGTCGAAATTGTTATGTAATAATTTTTATTTTCAAATAAATGAAGGAGCCTAGCGCCATGTGTTAGTTTAATGAATAATTACTTAGTCTACTACGTAACTACTGAGTACAAGACAACACAATAAATTAAACAAATATGTGATTATGAGAATTAACAATGAGATTATGAACAATGATTAGATACTAGAATTACTAGATAATAGTAAAGTTATTAAGAATTAGTATGATTTTTAACTAAGTTCATTTCGTAACCATAAGATTTAAATGTTTAGAAGTGCATCTGTGTGTGACTAAAAGAAATAAACAAAGCAATTATTAAGACTGAGATCAACGTTAAATTTATTAAATTTTCTGATTAATGGTTTAATAAATGTTGATTTTTACAAAAATTGCCTCTTTTTAATACGTTTCACCAGAAATTAACTCAATTAAAATTCTTCAAAAAAGGCTTACCCATCTTAAAAAAACACAAAAGTTTTTTTAAGTCTCGAAATCCCGGTAATTCCCGGGACTTTGATTATAGGCTGTCCCGTGTCCCGGGACTTTGAAATTGTCGGGAATTCCCAAACCATACTCAATACACTAATGCTAAATACAATGAAAAAAGTTACCTTAATATCCTTCATACCCTGTATGGGTACTCGATCACTACCGGTGAGAAAGAGAAGGAACTTCTTTTTGTCCTCCAGGGAAAGTTCATGGAAAACTTCCCAGAACCATCTGCCATGAACGGTTAGAAAGTAAAATAAAATTATTTGTTTATGAAACATACATGTTAAAACTTATGAGTAAATTCTCAGTCACAAATTACCTATTGTATAAAACACTGGCAGCCACGGCAGCATAGAAGAAAAGCGCCCTTCTTAAATTTAATATTACGATAATATTCGTATTTTCCTCGCCAGCACAATTGCAGTTGTTAAAAGCAATTTTAAGTGCTCATTTATAACGTAAGGCGGTGAAGAAACACAACGCGAGAAAACCCCGCATGACAACAAATGAAATAAATTTCGAGAACAGGTGAAGAGGCACTCTTCCCAACTCAAAAAACCCTCTCAGTTGAATGTGCCTAGCAATGGAACATATAATATTATAGGCTATTACTTTAAGGGGTTCTTCAGTAAAAAATAACTTCCCTCTCTCTTCCTCTCCCTTTATCCATACGCTAAAAATTAGTCTTCATCTTTTCTTTCCGATGTAGGGCAAGCCTCTCACAGAATACCAGCGTAAAGTGGCAGCTTAATGCTGCATGTTTCATATAGTGAGTGTAGAGAACCGGATACTCTTTTCACTAGAAACGAGGCGTTCCATCTTGGTGTTCTGGGGTAGCAACGCATCTGCATGTGCATCTAAATTCTTAATCAAGGACAAATGTAATGGGAATAATTTAACATTTCTATATTGTTCGCACATGCATAAGATAATCTACTATCGCAAATCGTACCTGATCTGTTGGTCAGTAGCGGAGTAACCATTTTTATATTCACAATTGTTTTCGAACAAATCCCAGTCGTATTCTTCGTTTCCAATAACAACCGACATCAACTCGTGAGATCTAAACAATTTGATAATCCTACCACCGCATACCTAAAAAAAAGTGATGTTCTAATTTGCCTAAATGTCAGCACATTCAAATTTTACAATACGGCGCAAATTTAAAACAAACTAAAAACTAAAATAATGATGCTGGCAGCAATACAAATATATAACCGGCCAAAATCAATGGGCAGTCCTTTTGCGAAAATTAGCACTACGAATTTATACTCGAATCAATGAAAGAATAAGTAAAAAAAACTTCCTGCTATTGTAAAACGATATTTTATTTTGTGAAAAATTGTGTGTAAAATTAGTGAGTTGGATTCTATAGTTTTAAATAGGGCGTCCGAAATTTATATATTTGTATTTTTTTTTGTATATTAGAATTTAACTTTAGTGAACTTTTTCGTCTCGTACATTTTAAGAAATGATAATAAAATAAACGCACTATGCGTGTAAATATTTCATTTCACGCTTAATTGAAAATAAGTACCCGATTAAGGCTTCTTTAAAATCTCCTCTTCTTTATTTTAGTAAAAAGAGCTTCAACTTACAATTTGTCACCAAATGGAAACTTTGTAGTGGAGATATATATGTACATATCATATCGTATAGAGATAACTAGAAGTAGTAAATGTTCGTTTACGCTTACGATTATTCACTTCCATTCATTGCACTCTATTAAAAGTCTACTGCTAAAGAGAGGATTCCCCCATAATATGCCACATAGGGGCGATATTTGGCATACGTAGTTGCAATGCTTGGCAGGCGGATTGGTGAACCGCAGATCCAGACGTTTCTTGCCTTTCACGCTGCTTCATGTCACCGATCTTGATATTTTATGTCTGAGAGTAAACCATATATGAAGAGATCTCATTTGGTTATTATATTTGGATATATGTAAAGAAAACCCTGTCTGATCCAAACGGGGCCTTACCGTAGGGATAGGTACCGTAATTTCCTTAACAAAAAATTCAAATATATTATTATTAATGAAAAAATAATAATTATACTGTTATTTAAAATCCATGGTTTCACAACTCTGCTTATTAAAACTTGGCAATTTTTAAAATCTGGCAACACAAGTTGCTTGTGGTTACTATTAAAAATATCTTTGAACATATGGCGGTATGTTATCCAACGGCCGCCAGAGCTTATTGCCATCTTTTATTTCACTTTTTGTAGGATTTTTTTATTTATTCCCCGAAAAGATTACATGAACAAAATCATATCTTAATACTCAAAAGCACAATTACGGATTGGACAGGTTTTTTTTTTACATATATAAGGTCGTATTATAGGCGAATTTAACATAATACATTGTACATGTCTCACAGAATACCAGCGTGAAACAGCAATGTTTCTTATGGCAGTGTAGAGAACCGGAGACCCTTCATACTGGTAACAAAGCATTCCATATTAGTCCCCACCCATCTGCATTTTGATAAGAGATGTAGATGTCTAAGGGCCATAGTATTCACTTACCATCAGGTGGACTCAAAATATGGATCTATCAAACGTCAGACTATTCGTAAGTTGTCGACATAATCGAAATTTACTGAACAGTGCAACATAAAAATACATAAACATTATATTATGCTAAAGAAAAGTGAGTAAATAAGATACCTTTTGAAATCCTTGATTGAAAGCCTTAAACTGATTTTGCACAGACTTATTGAGCAAAAAGTCGACGTAAAGCTCAACGTATTCCTCCTTGTTCTCGTGTGTAACCGGTATATTCTCGCCGTTCTCCTTCAGCATGTGAACTTGAATTTCATCGAATACAATAGTGTTAACGGCGAAACACAGACTAAATACCTAAAAGAAAATTAAAACAATACTAGTGCTCGCCTAAAACTATTGGTCTGACTTTGATCAAATTCATATGGGACCACACGAGAAGAACCAGCTTTCAAATAAAAAAAGAATCATCGAAATCGGTTCACCCAGTAAAAAGTTATGAGGTAACACACATAAAAAACCATACAGTCGAATTGAGTACCGGCTTCTTTTTGGAAGTCAGCAGAAAATAAACGCTTTTTTGCCTTAACGTAAACTACACAGACTATTGAAAAAAATAACTTTATAATCACACAAAATTAAGTAGTAATTATTTGTTGGCAACATAATAAAATTCTTTGGCTATATGTGTGTATTAGCAGTAAGCAATAAATATTTTATTTTATGTATTTGTAACACAAATTATATAGGTAGTATAAAGTTTTGCTTTCTACACTACTTTTAAATATATACTTTAACTATGCCAAATCTCACTCCTTCGCGCGCGCAACATGCTTAATACAAAGTTTTCTCTTCACGTATTAATATAAAGGTTTAATAATATAATGTTTGGTTTGTGTAGTGGTGGTGTAAGAACATTGAGACAAAGGGAAAATACTAGGAGGTGGCCGGCAGCGTCTTCGTAATAACACTAGAAATATAGATAGTAACTAAATGGGAGTTCCTTTTTCATATCCATAACAATGACAGACCAGTTTAAAACTAATAGGAAAAAATATACAACTTTCCATACCTCTTCAACATCCTCATCTGTATACTCTAGGAGACTCTTCAAACTGTTAGCCAATGTAGGATAAAGATCCGAGAGATCATCCAACATAACAGACTCTCCTAATAATTTCTTGTACAACACAAGTGGAAATGGGACATAGATGATAATGGAGTTGTAGATAGCTAGGCCATAAATTGCACCTGAAAGTAGAATGTACCCCATTGTAACTTTTTCTTTGTTTTATGTTATGCAAATAAATTCAAATATAATTTTATACAGAGTAAGGATCGCAAGCAGACTGTCCACCTGATGGTAAGTGGATAATGTGGCCCATAGAGCCCATAGACACTAATTTTTATCTTCGGTTAGAAATCAAAATGAAGATCCGTCAGGGCTAAGATAGAGCCAGCAACAAGTGCTAAAATTAAAAAATTGTGTATAACCGACTTCAATATAAATTATTAAGGATAACTCAAAAACTACTAGTCAGACCTTGATCAATTTATATGTAATTTATATGGGACCACATGAGAAGCACCAGCTATCAAATAAAAAAAAGAATCATCAAAATCGGTTCACCTAGAAAAAAGTTATGAGGTAACACACATTAAAAAAAACATACAGTCGAAGTAAGTATCTACTCCTTTTTGAAGTCGTTTAAGAGGGTATCAGATTCACAGTGTTAATCATACGAAAGACATCAACATAAAGTTGCCATTTTACACTGATATTCCATAAGATTGTAGCTCTTCCTTTTCGAGCTGACTCGTTCGTGCTGCAGCCATGATACAGCTACATGGGAACTTAAGGCGGCTGTCAGTCACTTCTTGCGTCTTATCTCTCTTCGGTCGTGTCTAATTTCCGTCCCATCGGACTATGAGAGTGGGCAAATAGAGTGCACTTGTGCTGCACACACTCTAAGGTCCGTATTAATAAACGTTACTCAACGACGAACTCAAGTGGGTAATCATTTGATACGCCCTCATTACGATATCAGCATCTTAAGATCGTTGCTAATTAATAAACACATAAAAACAGTATCTTGAAACGCTGTACTTAGGAATACTGTTCTGTGACTTGCACTCAAGTACACACACTTGAGAGTCGAGTTTCGCTTATTAATCAGTGTGGCACTCAGCTGATATCATAAACCTAAACTGCATCTTGAGATAATATGTTTATTAATAAGATCATTACCTCAAGACTGTACTCAAGTGCGTGTACTTGAGCTGAGTAACGTTTATTCATACGGGTCTAAGACACTGTAGTGCATTGTGCAAACACAGGGGGATTATAATCCTATCCTGCGCAGATGACTTAGTCTCCGCTGAAACTGGATGCCGTGGCCGAAATTCGGTCCGGAGATAATTATTATTTTGAATGCCTATGTTAATAGATAAGATTTAATCTAGGGTACGGAGTCTAAAACACGGGTGACAGAACCGATGCATTATATATTATTCATTTACAGGAATGAAACAGTGGGATGTACAGCTTTGGTATTCTCACAATACAGCCATAATGTGTTTAAAACAGTTTTAAGTAATTTGAGCTTTTAAGATATACAAACTTCTTACCAATTAAATAATACATGACGTCATCTTCAAAGGGATTGTTTGAAAACCATATCATATTGGTTTCCTCGGACTGTTTGAACATTCCATACACTGGATCGAATATCTCCTTAAGCAACAACATGAAAAATTCTTTTCTCACACCACCGGCGTCCTCCGCCTCCTCTCCCACGAATTCTACCTAATACAAAACATGATTAGTAATGTACTTTTTTCAATGTGCGTGTATTGCTGTCCACTACACCAATATAAAGGCAGCGAGCGAATTCAACCTATCAAAGTCCACTGCTGATCCATAGCATCCCCATAGATTGCCTCATATTTAATTTTATTTGCCATAGTTGCCTTACTTGGCAGGTTGGCAACTCCATTTTATTATTTTTTAGTTGTTTTTAGCTGCTGTCCGAACGATGCTGTCCATCTACTGGTTCGTTTGCCTTTGTCGCCTTTTAGAACACGCACGTGACGATACTCTTACACCGCCAAATAAACACCACACCATGTAATGACACGGTGTGGTGTTTATTTAGATTACATTATTTTGTTCAATCAAGCAGTTAATTAAATGGCCAACATTTTTATTTAAAAATCACTATGAACAAAGTAACATTATATTTTTTTCGCAATATCATTTATTTTCAAGCAAAAAGAATATTTTTACGTAATGATTCAATAAAATTTTTAATGATGTAAAATTTCTACCTCATGTTTTTACATAAGACCTTTATATAAGACTAGTCCGTACGGATAAAGAACGGGATTAGAAATAGCAGCTCATCGATCCCGTACAGTAAACGTACCAATATAGCGAAAACCCTCTAATAACGGTATATCGTTATAACATCACTTATTATTATTCGGTTAATAGTAAATTGGAAAATATTTGAAAGGAATTGTATACACAAGTATGTACATACATACATCCGCTCTGGCTTCTCCTGGATGAGATCTATTAATGTGGCGTTATATAGACTTACGATAATCATTAAAGACCATTTTTTTATCTTATAAATATTTCCATTTTCATAAAGTCTAAATTTTTCTGATTTAATTTAGTCTTTTTTTTTTTTATAAGATAAGGGTGACAAACGAGCACACAGTCCACCTGATGGTAAGTGGTTGCTGTGGCCCATAGACATCTACATCTATCCTCGTTTGCGAATCAAAATGCAGATGCGTTGCCACCCGTGAGGACTAAGATGGAATGCCTCATTTCCAGTAAAAAGGGCCTCCGGCCACCTGCACTCACCAAGCGAAACGCAGAGGTAAACCTCTACTTCACGCTGGTATTCTGTGAGGTCGTGGTACTATCCCGGTTCGAGCCGGCCCATGGCTCTACCACTGTAAAAAGTCTAGATCACTCCTGGTATTGGACAAACGAGCACACAGTCCACCTGATGATAAGTGGTTGCTGTGGCCCATAGACATCTACATTTATCCAAAAGATTATTCGTAAAGTTTTATTACAATCGATTGAGCCATTCCGAAGATTAGTTCGGACAGACAGACAAAGAAAATTTAAAAAATGGTTACTCATGTCTCAATAGCATGTAAATATTTTAAACAAAAATATTAACAAAAAATCAACAATAATAATTATAAAAAACTCTCAGGACGCGTCGCTGCTCACAACTCACAGTGCGTTGTCACCTCTAAGGGCTAAGATGGTACCTCACAGCCATTAATTATTATGTAATGAACACAACAGCAAGCGCTGCTATTTGGCGGCAGAAAAGGATAAGATGGTCGTATCTCCTCAGACAGACTCCTAGGCATAAAAGGATTCTTAACACTAGTATATTAAATGGTTTTCAAATCAAAAAGTCACAATCAATACATACTCTAAGTGGCTTCTTCAGCTGCGACGTGTCATGGCTGCTTATTTGCGTCATTGTATCTCTAACTATATGATTCCTAGAGATTGTGAGGTTGAGGAACTGATCTCTTTGGTATTCATACGTAGGGTCGATGAATAGGCGAGAAAATATTTGGGTGGCGGCCCTGCTTATGGCCATTTGCATTTGTAGCTGTTGGTCGATCTTCAGCAGTAGAGATTTGCACTGCACGTCGAATAGGAATGCGTAGTTACACATGTGACGCTGAGACGACTGGAAAGGTTACGGGTAATTAAAACAAAATACAATCGCGCTGAGGTAAATCATAACAAAATTTTGATAATTTCTTTTATAATATTATTGACAAATAAAATAAATAATTTAAAAATAATCAAAAATCCACTGCAAAAAGACTGCAATTTAAAAATAAACTCTACTTCGATTTAACAAACTATAATATGAGCTGAAAGCCTAAGTTAAATACCCGCATTAAGTTTAGTAACAAGCGGAAACCATTTATTTTCATTCGGTTTATAATTTGCAATTGGGTTCCGCCTGCTACTAAACTAAATGACTTGTAGAGTTGGCAAGCCTATCTGCAACCAACATTAAGCAACGTTATAGTTTTGTTGTAATCCCTGAGGACTATGATAAAATAACAAAATCTGAAAAATAACTAAACATGACAAAAATAATACAAAATAAATAGTAGTACCAAAACTGTCCTTTAAAATTTTGTTTTCGCTATAATGGATTTACGATAACATTATTCAAAAAATGTCACTGTTATTGTTTTATTGTAATGTCCGCAAAAATAAAATAAATAAAAATTGGAGGAAATTCAATCAAAGCAAAACCGAATTTGCAACTGAAACAGTTAGTGAAGTGCCCTACACGTTTGTAACTCTAATATTTAAAAAAAAACTAATAATATAGAAAGGCGTACTTTAATTAAAAACATTTTTATAATACTTACGTCTTGATCGGCTAGCCACTGGATATAGTCGGTCGCTATATCCACATAGTTGCAGAGATCTTCTATGTAAAAACATTCTGCTGGTATTTTGGGCTTTTTTGGATTCACGAAGTTAATTTTATTTAAAAATGATAATGTATTCAAAATTTGCACAATACTATGCGTGAAAGAAATTTTCTGAAAGGCGTTTAAAAAATTAGAGATAAATAGGAATAAAAGACAGACATAATAATAATAATATAATGTTTTACATGAAAAAGTTTTATTACACTTGAGTATTGTACGTGTGTGCGATGTGTGTGCGGTGTGTGTGCGGTGTGTGTGCGGTGTGTGTGCGTGCGTGTGCGTGCGTGTGCGTGTGCGTGTGCGTGTGTGTGTGTGTGTGTGTGTGTGTGTGTGTGTGTGTGTGTGTGTGTGTGTGTGTGTGTTTTGTGCGTATATTCAGACTGGATCACAGCCACGCGGGTAGTGCTGCTTGCTGGCAGAAATAAGTATAAGTGTGGTATCTACTCAGATCAGACTCTTATATATATATACAAATTCAGTAATCTTACCTTATTAGCTCGAACTACAGGCTGCATTAGTTCATAAACTATCACACTCTTAAAAATATCAACTAGCATCTCAAAGTACTCAGTAGTTTGCGCTTCCCACCACATTTGTACAATTTTCTGCGGGTACATTGCTAATTTATTAAAAGCCTCCGCAAATGGACCCTGTATTAATAAATATGATATTTACAGCATATTAAGAACTGTTCATGGATATTAGTAAGGTCAATGTCTATGGGTATTTAACAATACCTGTAGCTCAGGATGGCGACGTGGATTCCTCATTTCATGATACAACGGAAGAATTAGGAACACTCGTAGCACCTCGGCATCGGGTGGGGATGGCTTCATTTTCTTTATAATATTCTCTGTTAGGTGATTAAATATCTGAAATATTATTATATAAATACTGGTAAATGCGCCACAGATGTTGTAATGTGGTGTATGCATAGTGCTCATATTTGTATTTTTATACTCCAAAAATTATACTCAAACATGCCAGACCGAAGGAAGGAGCAACAAAATTAAACTGCCAAAAAATTGATTGTAAATATTATAAATAATTAGCAGAAAGATGTTTTTGAAACTTGTTAACTTGTAAAATTTAAACTTACAAGCTCTTTTATGGAGGTATTTTCAATTCTGCTAATAAGCGCAAAAGCTTCCTCCGCCTTCTTTAGGTCCACGCCGGGTACTTTGGTGTTGCATCCGAAGTGTCCGCTCTGAGTCAGCAAGAACGAGCCGTTCATACACGCCAGTGAACCGAACACTGTCTCCAGATACGCCATTAGATCCTGTAACAATACTCAAGTGTAATAAAACATACTTTATTTTTAATTCTTTTATTTTAAATTTATTTCTGTCTACTTCTGCAACATATAAAAATAAATTATATGTTACAGATAGGGTTGCCAGATGATCGGGATTCGTCTGGATTCTCCCGACATTTTAAATGATCTCCCGACTCCCGACAAAACTCAAAATCTCCAGACAAACAGCTCCTCGAAATGTTAATAATTTAAAATTAAAATGCAACCAAAACGAAATTATGAAATTTAAAAAAAATTATATCATTTATGTTGTCAATTCTTGTAAGCAATGCTTATTGTGAAAGGGTATTAAGTTTACTAAATAATTTATATACTAAAGAGAGAAATCGTATGGCTACTGATTTAATAAAAGCTGGGTTACTAATTAGAATGAACTTTGAGGAAAATTGTTTAAATTTTAAATCTTTTCTGAATACCACTAAAGGATCCAAATTGGTGGATTCAGTAAAGTCCAATGCCAAATACCTGTGGCAACCTCAAAATTAAGTGTAGTTACATTAATTATCTGTCAACAATGTAAAGTATATTTGTATTGTAGCCCATTAATTTAAAAAATAATATTTTTGTTTTACATTTTTATTTTTAACATTTACAACATTTCATTAACAGTGGATTGCGGAAGCCCGTCTGGCTACATTGAATGTATGTGGAGGAGTGAATGATAAGATGGATGAAGTATGCGATATGATGCAAGATAGAGGAATAGACGTGTTATGTGTAAATGAGACGAAACGGAAGGGAAAGGACACATGGCATGCGTACTGGTCTGGTGTAGACGAGACCAAGCGGGCATGCCAGGGAGTCGGTATCATCCTCTCAGAAAGAATGGGTCATTGTGTGAAAGAGTATGAATGTGTAAGCCTGAGACTGCTATGGATACGAATGAAAGTGGGCTTAAAGAAGTTGTTTCTTTTAGGGGTCTACGCCCCAGACATGTCTAAGCCCACTTATATCCGAGAGCAGTTTTGGGAGTTGGTAAGGATGGTGCTAATGAAATGCAAGGTTAATGAAAATATTGTGATATTAGGCGATTTTAATGGAAGGGTTGGGGTGAGGAGGCTTGTTTATGAAAGGATATTGGGAACGTTTGGTGATGAAAGTATAAATGAGAATGGTGAAAGCGTTCTCGCTGTATGCGTGGAAAAGAATCTTTTTGTGACGAACACTTTCTTTCGTCATAAGATTCACGCGTATACATGAGAAAGAGGTGATGATAGAAGTATGATAGATTTCATAATTGCTGATGAAAGAATGAGGAGCGCGGTGGTAGATACAAGGATTTACCGGGGCTCTTACGTAGGGACGGATCATTACTTGGTCTTATGCTGAATTAATGTTTATTTCAGACGTTAGAGACATCGGACATCTGTGTCTACCAACTGCATTACAGCGTATAAGAACAGAGATGTTAAAAGATGAAGGTGTGAAAGAGAAGTTCAAATGTAGATTGAGAGAAAATATAAGTGGTATGGATGAATTGTGTATGAATGATTTAGACTTGGAGACTGTGTGGTATAATGTCAAGAAAGGTTTAGTGGATGCAGCTACCGTAGTATGTGGTGTAAGTAAGAGAACGAATAAAAGGAAAAATAACACGTTATGGTGGGATGATGAGGTACGGATGGAAGTTGAAGCAAAGAAGAAAGCATGTCTAGATTTACTAGCAACCAAGACTAGTAATTCTAGCAGTATGAATGATGATATTGAAAGAAAAAAGGCAGTCTTTAGACACCTAAATAAGAGAGTAAAAGAAGTAGTTGAAAGGAAAAAGCAAGAAAGAACGGATAAGAATGATAGAAGAATATCGGATAACTTCCAGGCAAACATTAAAATGTTCTGGAAACTCGTAAGAACTACATTCAAAACAGCCTAGAATTAATGCTATACGAGACCAGAATGGCTGTATTCTGAATGACGAAGTTTTGAGTTTAAGGAGATGGAAGGAATACTTTAAAAGCGTGTTTATGAGTGATGAGACGTTTGAATTAAATGAAATAGAAATTCCGAAAGAAGAGGAAATAGATAGAGATATAAGTATATATGAAATAATGAAAGCAATAAAAAGTATGAAAGCAGGTAAGGCAGCCGGTTGTGATAGAGTATCTCTCGAAATGCTAAGAGCTGGAGAAGGAGTGGTGGCAGACCTGCTGTACACCTTTTTAATTTATGTTGGGAACTTAAGCGGGTACCGGGAAACTGGTGCAAAGCCGTGATAGTCCCAATATATAAGGGAAAAGGATCACAGCAGGACTGTAAAAACTACCGTGGTATCAGCCTTCTTAGCATTGTGGGAAAACTGTATGCTAAGGTACTAATTGAAAGAGTTATGAAAGAAACTGATGGAAAAATTTTGGATGTGCAAGCGGGATTTAGAAAGGGAATGGGCTGTACGAATCAGGTCTTTTCCATGCGCATGATCGCGGAGAAGTTTTTGGCCAAAAACCAAAAAGTTTTTTGTGCGTTCATAGACTTGAAGAAGGCCTATGACAGAGTGGACAGGGATGTGTTATGGCAAACACTGAACTCATTTGGGTTGACCGCTGGTCTGATACAGGCATTGAAGTCTCTATATAGGGACTCTAGTGCTTGTGTCATGATCAACGGGGCCTACTCGGACTGGTTTGGCATCCATAAATGTGTCAGACAGGGCTGTGTGGCTTCCCCGTTGCTGTTCAACCTATTTATGGACAGTTGTTTGGAAAATTTGACAGTAGAAGAATGCGGGTTAAGAAGGGGTGAGTTAACCGTCAAATGCCTTTTGTACGCCGATGATCAAGTCATACTTGCGTCGTCGGCGGCCGAGTTGCAAATGATGGTTACATTAAGGAACAGGACATTTAAAGAAAAGGAAATGAAAGTGAACGCAAGTAAGACGAAAGTTATGGTTTTTGAAAGATAAGAAAGTAAAACGATATGTGAAATACGAATAGAAGGGGAGTTGGTAGAGCAAGTAGATGAGTTTGTGTATTTGGGATGTGTGTTTAGCAGGGATGGTAGATATGATAAGGATATAGAACGACCAGTGAATGCAGGAAATAGAGTGAATGGGGCTCTACACTCTATTGTGAAAAGTCAGAATGTGTCCAAAAAGGCACGTATGGCAATTTACAATGCTGTGTTAGTACCTACTTTAATGTATGGTAGGGAAAGTTGGGTGTGGCAGAAGAAGCACGAGAGTAGAATAAATGCTGTAGAAATGCGGTCATTAAGGAGTATGTTATGGATGAATCTGAATGACAGAGTGAGAAATTGTTTAATAAGAGAAGAGTGTGGTTTGCAAGATGATGTTGTGACCAGGATTAAGAAAGGAATGCTTCGGTGGTTTGGTCATGTAGAAAGAGAGGAAAGAGTGATAAAGCAAATTTATGTTGCAGAGGTGAACGGCAGAGTCGGGAAGGGTCGCCTTAGGCGAAAGTTTATCGACCAAATTAGCGATATATTGAAAATGGGCCAAATCAAGAGTACCTTCAACCGACGAGCGTGTATGCGTAGGTATATGGATGTGGAGGAAGCGAGAGAGGTGTGTCACGATCGTGCCAAATGGAAGTCCATAGTCTCTGCCTACCCCTCTGGGTGACAGGCGTGAGTGTTTATTATGTTATGTTTAAACATTTATTTCTCCCGACAACAACCCCAAAATCCCGACATTTTCAAATTTTGTCCAGATATTTTGGTATTCCGATCTGGCAACCCTAGTTACAGAAAAAGTACAAAGGCGAACTGCATTAAGATATTTAAGAAAAAACATAATTTATACATTGGTATATATTTTTAAGTACGAAACTGAATTGCTATATTAACTTATCAGTAGTACTGACTTCGTCAGTAACCAGGGCGTACTGTTTACAAGTGAAGTTAGTGCAACTTAAAAATTACTTATTTGTTGATTATTGTTTCGAAACATGTATTAGTTTCGCTATAATTTTGATTTATTAAATAACCAGTTTCATATTACGGCATCATTAGGGTATATTCGTTATAAGAAAACATGATTTACAAATGTCAATACAATCAATAAATCAATGAAGTTTCACAAAGTGACAACAATTGTTATTATAAATTATAATTTCTTGTTTATTGGTCAATTTTTCACTCATATTTTTTAAATATAAGTGTAATATATTTTTATTATAATGTTTAACCTACTTGATTCACAGCATCGTCATCTTTAAACATTTCACAAGCAGCCAGCCTCGGCAAGCTGAGTGTGAGGATCTGCTTCTTACTATCTGGCACCCGGAAGTCCACAGACACAGTTTTGTCGCTGCTGATAACTACGAAGCTGTGATCGCCGCCTGCGAACACCTTTATCGGACCGCTGAGTATTTCTTGAGAGAACTATAGACAAAATTTAATAATAAATTAATAAGCATATTCAATACAGAAAAAAAAATCCCAGGAATATATGTGGATATGCAAAAACTAATTTACTTGTAAAAAAAATGGAACTGCGGATATACAATAATACCCCAGATCTAGCAAATGAATGAAGACCCCAACATATGAATATGGAATGTACTAAGACGACATAAACTGATATAAAAACAGTGACATTTTGTCTGTGTATAAATTGTGTGTATTTTAATATACAATGTATCCGGGTTTGTAGTAATAAAACTTTAAGGCCGGTAAATACACAATTTTATCGATAAAAATACCCCACATAATGGGCGCAATCTCTACACTTATGTTCTAAGTTCTTATGTGCTAAGTTCACACAGGTGATAACAAACTTTCGCAACCAGTATCATTGGCCAGCTGAAAATCCTCATGCAGAGACCGGTAAGATTTCAGCATGACTTTTTTTAAAATAACATTAAATATAGGATTCAGTGAGACCTACATCCAAGGTTATCGTTGTTAGACATGTAGTTATCGAAATAAGTAAGTCAGATACTAAAATTGCTCTATCTTTGAGGTTGTGGGAATTGCACTTCTCATGTGGGGTATTTTTATCAATAAAATTAAATATATATACCGGCCTCGGTTTGATTACTATAAACACGGACACATTGTATACTTATCAAAAATATAAAATTATGTGCTATGGCACACAATCCTCATATACTATTTTAACTGGGCATTTTTCTTAATGCATAATATAAGTTTCACATTACAAAAATATTGAAATGTTTATGTTTGTTATGCTTATCAAAATAGTCCCCAAAATTTGCATTGACTAATTAATTAATTCTGATAAATAAAGTTTAAAATTAAAGCTTTCAATTAAATTATTCTATATGTTAAGGCCTTAAAAATGCAAAAGGTGAAATAATTTAATGCTAGGTAATCAGATTATATGTAACTACTTAAATGTTATACAAATATTCTGAAAGTTACAGAAGTTAAATCAATTTCATAATGAATTAAAAATAGAAGTAACTCAACGTTAGACTTAGGGGACCGCGAGCCGCCTTGTTTAGGACACGTCCTAGCCTTCTCGATCTTGGATTTCTTCTTGGGCTATAGGGAGGATACGAACCGTTAGTGGTCATATTACAACATATTATGACTTATTTATCACTAGGGAACCGCCCCGGCTTCGGCTGGATGGAATCTATTAATGTGGCGTATTGTAGACTTAAGATAATCAAAGACCATTTGCTTTATCAATTTCTCGATTTTTTGAGAAAAATTTTTTTTCGGATAAGATATTGCGTAGACCCCTTCGACCATGCTTTCTATCTGTTTGTAAACATTAGTTCATCACAATTAGTTCAGCCAATCCGAAGATTAGCTCGGACTGACAGACAGACAGACAAAACTTTTAAAAATGGTTATTTATGTCTTAACAGCATTCACATAACCTCCTGAGCTTAGCCAATTATTTTTATATTACAGACACACTATATAGATTTATACATGTGTATAATATTACGTTTGTGTCAATCAATCCAATTTAACCTTTAGAGAGCAATAAGTGTTGCTCACGCGTAGGTAACAATCCTTAATCGACTAAATAAAAATTCATATTAACATCATAGATTATTTGTTAACTGGGCAGAAGAACAGCAACAAATTTGAGTTATACATAAGAAATGTTATTTCAAAAAGTCAATATGATTGTGTACTTCTAATTCATATGACGCTTACACTAGTCACTAACTATAAATTGGATCAATTGGAAAAAGTGATTAGTGTCGCGGTCCCTGCGCTTCACCTTATACCCCAAAGAAGACCTAAGAAGCTTACTGCGCATGTTAAGGTCAATGCTCATAATCCGTGCCACTTGCAATACTTAATTTAACCTTAAAAAAAAACTTAAACAATGCTACACTAGTGGGTTTTCTACTCCATGAGATGGTAAATTACTAACTACAATAACAAACGTAACAAAAACATACAGGCATTAAATATATTAAGGCATTCAATATGTTATTCACCTTACTTTGTCCTGCATTATCAGTCTGCATGAAAGAAAAAAAATTCTCGATTAATTTATGATAACAAAATAATCTACATGAACATAAAAAGTCGATAAAACGTAAACTATTGTAGCAAAAACAAATAAATTACCATAGTACTGCAATCATAAAGTGCAATCCCAACTGATTGCATGTACTGAGATTCTACCGCCTATTGCATCGTCTTGTAGTGACGTATAATTTAAAATTTTGTACAAACGACTTCAATATAAATTATTAAGAATAACTCAAAAACTGTTGGTCAGATCTTGATCAAATTTATCACTTCACCACATGGGAAGTACGAGCTTTCAAATAAAAAAAGAATCATCGAAATCGGTTCACCCAGTAAGAAGTTATGAGGTAACACACATAAAAAAACATACAGTCGAATTGAGTACCGGCTCATTTTTGAAGTCGGTAGAAAAGAGTCCACTACCCCATATCATCCCGTTAGAATCGGTAGAGCAACAGTGGAAGGCTGATCAAAAGGTTGGCAGCAGAATTTTCCTGATAACAACTCAAAGTATTGAAAACTGCGCTTGCCTGTCAAGCGTGGCAAATATGGCAGATAGCCCCTTAAGAGAAAATATATTATGTAATGTTTCGTAAACTCCATTGTCACCTGAATGAGCCGTAGCAGCTCAAGGTCTAAGCGCTCGCTTTAAATTTCACAGTACGCGACCATCCCGGGGCTTGGGCCCCGCCAGCAATAATACAATGAGGGCTAATAATTTTCTGCTCACCAGACGTCGCTAGTTAACACTGAGGTAAAATTTTTTGTTACACAATGTCATTTAATTGAGAAGTTAGTTTTTAATAAAAGTTGCCTCAGTGGTTTGCTCTTTAATTTTTTTGCAGTTTTTTTTTTTAAACTCTTCTACCTTTATGAATATCTGTAATTTGGTTTATTTATTTTTAATCTTATTAATATAAAATATAGCTAATACCACAGAAAGAAACATTAACCTTTACATTTTCCGAACAAATTTTTTGTACGTGGTAGAGCCATGCTGCAGTTATATTAGTAGTATAGTTGTAGCACGAATGGGTCAGCTCGACCGGGGAAGGACCACGCTCTCACAGAACACCAGCGTAAAAAAGCAGCTTAATGCTGCTGTGTTTCGTAAGGTGGAGTGTAGATAATCTGAGACCCTTTTTACTGGAAAAGAGGCATTCCATCTTAGTCCTCACGGGTGACAACGCATTTGCATTTTGAGTCTTTATTGAGGATAGATGTAGATGTCTATGGGTCACAGTAACCACTTACCATCAGGTGGACTGTGTGCTCGTTTGTCACCCTATCCTATAAAAAAAAATTAACTTCCCCGCTATGATATCTGTCAAATATTATACCTCACTTTTAAGTGGCACCGCCCTGGTGGCAGAAAAAGTCGTGGATGCCCTCATTATTGTTAGTTACAATTTTAAGTGCTGATTTACAACGTGCTCAGTGGTGAAATAGAACATCGTGCGGAAACCTGTAATCTGAGATATAAAAAAAATTTTTCGAAGACATGTGAAATCCACCAAAACACATTGAAGAAGCGCTTAGAAATGAAAGGACCAGTGCAGTGGGTATGAACAAATCTTTCGAGACATGCGTTCCACTTGGGCATGTTCGTAAAAAGGCTTATTTCTTTTTTATAATAATTTGTGGTAATAATAATTATAAAACCGGCCAAGTACTTATCGGACTCTCGCATAAAGGGTTCCGTACCATCGTAATACACGTTTCTAGAAGGGGAGCCCCTTTTAATTTTTTTTTTAATTTTTTTTATTTGTTGTTATAGTGGCAACTGGAATACACATTCTGTTAAACTGTCTACCTATTACGAATCAAGAGATACAGCCCGCTAACAGACAGACGGACGAACGGACGGACGGACAGTAGAGGCGGAGGATGGACAGTTGGTTACCCTGGTACGGAACCCTAAAAATGAACGCCGAGGGATACGGCGGAATGATAATCACGATTACAGCAGATTACTAGCGCGAAGGAGCATTACATATGAAAGATGTATTATTGTCATCTCCTTGACGCCTACTAAGCTGGGACCACGACCAACAGTGGATTCCTTACGCGCTAATAAGTATGAAGTCTACGATCGAATAATCAATAAATGTTTTAAACGTAATTTAACGTAGCTAAAATGGGCGTGGGTACGATTCGGTCTGCATTCACTATCAACTTCCCATATAGTGATTATTTGCGGTTTGAATTTTTTGTTTACAAAGCTACAAAGTCAATATTAATGAACACTTAACATTACAATAACTTTCAAACTGACTTGAATAACAATCGGCCTTCATGCACAATGAACCAAACATCCTTAATATATGTATGTAAATTAAAGTAATTTGAGGCGAACATTCATGAGTTTTACAATTTATTTATTGTCTTTTCTGTATGTTAAACGACTAAATATTTTATTGTCTTCAAAACTTTACATGTAGAAAAATATCATCATCATCAACTAACACATAAGATATTGATAACGTTTACCGATTTAAAAAAATACTTACGAACAAGTAAAATACAACAAACTTGCAGTCCATCTGATGGTTAGTAACTACCACAGTGGACACCTGCAGCCATCTTCAAAAAAGAAAGCTAACCAAACAAAGAATGCCTTATCCTACTATCCTACTAATATTATAAATGTGAAAGTTTGTGAGGACATACGGATGTTTGTTCTCTCTCTCACGCAAAAACTACTAAATGTATTTTAATAAAACTTTACAATAAAATAGCTCATACATCAGAATAACCCATAAGCTATAATTCATTAAAAAAATATTGTGTAAATTGGCCAAAATATAACGATAAATGTTAAGATAGTTATAGTTGAAGAAAAAATTACTTAGCAGTTAGCCACCGTAGAGTCTATATCACTTGAGGATGCCTCGTGTAGAGGCGAAACACGTGTCGTATTGTCGTCAGTGGTGTGTCTTTCCTAGTGTAGTGGTGTTGGGAGTAGTGGTGCTGGGATTAGTGGTGACGGGGACAGTGCACGCAATTGAGGGAGGTGCTCTTCAAACTAGCGAAGACACATCATTTATTTTATCGTGCGGATGTACGCAAAGTAATTTTTTGACAACTTTGATAAATGTTAAATCTGAAAAAAATCTGTCATCTGCGAGCTATTTTGGTGTGAACACGCATCACGCAAAAACCTGTGAACCGATTTGGATGGGATTTTCACACGTTATAAGAAGTAACTAAAGCTACTTTTATTTTAGGGTGCCACGCGGGCGAAGTCGCAGAGAACAGCTAGTAATCTTTAATTATACTTTTTCTTTATAACCTTCAGACTGGAACACAATAATGCAAGTACTGCTATTTGGCGGAAGGATTAGGTAAAAGGTTGGTCCCTAGCTAGACGCACTACTAGGCAGAAAAATTAGTCCCACCACCCAGCTTTCATGTCATAATAACTTGCGTAGACTAGATTGTAATACTTAAATAATGCTCCTCCTCTCTCTGATTGACGGAAACAGTAACAACTAACCGGCGAATCATCGTTGGGTGTAAAAGGGACCGGTGTCGGCACGAGCGCGAAGGCCATGTGCGGACATCCCAACTGCCCTCTAGCGCCATAGCCGCAAGCTAGTATGCGGTCTCCCACGCGACAGAGTACGTGGCGACGACCGCAAGCAACTTGCGTCACTGTGCTGCCCATTAACTCCATTATCTGCAATAGGATTTTTACACTAAAAGTTGGTTATAGATGTGTAACAATTGAGCATAAACACAACTACTTAACATATTAATACATGAATTAATAACATTTCAATTGCCTAAATTGGCAGTGTACAAAAAACAATTAATGTTAAGAGTATCTTTTTTTATACTATAAGGGTGACAAGCGAGCACACAGCCCACCTGATGATAAGTGAATGCTGTGGCCCATAGACATCTACATCTATCCTCGTTTAAGAATCAAAATTCAGATGCGTTGTCACCCCTGAAGATAAGATGGAATGCCTCGTATTCAGTAAAAAGGGTCTCCGGTTCTCTACACTCACCATACGAAACACAGCGGCATTGAGCTGCTATTTGAAGCGGGTATTCCGTGAGAGCGTGGTCCTTCCCCGATCGAGCCGACCCATTCGTGCTTCAACTATGATATATATGAAGCTGACACACATGATAATAAGCCATATCATTTTATGCTGATTAAAGGCACAAGTAAAAAAGAAAATGTAAGAGAATACACTACCCTATGTAGGTGTCGTAAGAATCGACAGAGGGTAATAAAATAAAAATGGACAGTAGCATCTGTCTGAGAACAATTAAAAAAAAGTGCAGTTGTCAACCTCCCTGCCAACCGTGGCACTATAGCGAAACTCCCCTCTATGAAGGTTTAGTAGGTTGTAAGTTTTAGTATTATGCAATTTTTTTTTAAACTTTAGTGATAATTTGCTGATATCCAGTTGGATTAAATAGCATCTTTAATAGAGAATCTTGAGTATAAGGCCTGCGAGATAACATAAAATTAAATACCTTTTTAGGAACTAATTCATCTTTAGTAGTTCCATGGCCAGTCTGTCCATATTCTCCAGAGCCACAAGTGAACACACCACCATCCAGTGTTAGAAATGCTGTGAAATCTTCCCCACAAGATATGTGGCATACCTGTAAAATTTTATACTTTTTATGTCAGATAAAATGAAGAACAGAGTTGCAATAAATGGAGGCCTTTTTTGAGCAACTCTATAACATCAATATGTTAATTCCACGGAATAAATATAAAGAGGAGACGGCCTAAGCAACTGTGTACTGTGATTCTAACTAGGTCCTGACGTCATTACAGTGGGCGTGGCTGTAGTTAGTATACTGTCACCTTTCGTCATGTGTGCTTACGTGTCGAAAATCGCAAATTGGTGTATTTTCGTAGTATTAAGAAAAAAAGAATGAAGTGTTGTGTAATATCGTGCAAAAACTACTCGGATAGACGCTCTGATGCTATGGATGGTAGAACATTTCATTTGTAAGTAATTTTATACCTAATTTATTAAAATAGTTCTAGAAAAATCTCTACGTCGGCTTTCAAATATAATTAAATATATTCGACACTAGATGTCGACACTTTGTGTCATAGGAACTAAAAATATAAAGGTACGTAGAGCTCAGTATTGGTAAAATAATCATACGAAGGTGCTGAAATTTGTTTTGCATTCAGTCCTAAAGAATTTTTTATCGCCAAAATATTATTTTTATAGTTTTTATAATCATTTTGTGAACAGGCAGCCATCTATCGTCAAGGTAGCTAAACTAGATTATAACATCCATATGGAACGATGCAAATAGTTTTACTATTTATCGGTAGATGAAAGATAGCTACATATTAAAAGTATATAGGTCACTTCATTTATATAAATAAAATGATAGAGATTTGCAGTTGCGCGTATCACAGAAAAACTACTGGATAGATATCAATTAGGTTTTCAAAGTTCCATTTGTTAGACACTTGGCACTTATCTAAAAAAAATATTGTGATATCTTCATTTAATATAAAGTTATTAAAGTTTTAAGAAACAACTATTTTTATAAGCACTACGTGTTCAGTGATGTGTGTTTTCTTGATATATCAAGCAACGCGGACGAAGTCGAGGGGATCATCTAGTTTTTTAAGAAAAGAACTGACGAATATTACTGTCCAAATATTTTAGTTTTAATATGAATGCACTAGTGACTCTGCAATTAATAATTGAATTTATGTACAAATTTGATAAAGTAACTCTTATCAGAAACCAAAGGCACTTCCTATTTATACCACATGGTTGGGTTACAGAAAATAATTGTGTGCTTGATTTTTTTAAACATGACGATGCGTTTGATTATATCAGATTGATATAGCAGACCACCCCGACGTCCCTTTAAACATATTACATATTTTAACTGTATATACTATAAGTAACTTTAAGAAATTAAATGTGATTATGCGGGTAAAAAAATATATTTAAATAATGGAGAATGCAGAGATAATTTACTCACATAATACTTTCACTTCTAGCTAAATACTTTCACAACTAGCTATTATTTTTAATATTAGTATTGAATATGGTATGTTTCCTGATTTAATTAAGCATAGTAAAGTAATACTTTTATTTAAACCTGTTATAATTTTAGTAAGATTTTTGAAAAAATTATTCTTGATCAAATGTTAAAGGACAATGTCCAAAATCGCCCTGTGTAATAAAAGCATCGGACATACACGATAATTAATTGTCTATTTTATTATATTAGTTGCAAATACTTATATAACACGGACTAGCTGCATGCCGAAATGAACATTAAAAAGTATTCTACTCGACTAATAACTTCATCGCCGCCATTTTCGCCAAGCATCATGTGGTGTCAAAGAATGATTAGGGATGCCCAATCGATTGCAATCGATTTTTGAATTTTAATGAACTGTTGCATATTTTTGAATCTGAATTAGATTTTGAATTTATTTCGAATAAAGTTGCAAAAAGAAGCTACAATAAATATTAAATTATCATTTCTTTATATTATTTTATAAGAAAAGTATAATTTAAAAAACCTACTATACCATAATGAATGAGGTTATACTCGATTTTGAATAGGTATTTAGAATAATGCTGAAGAAAAATATTCGTAAAGATAATTATCCAGGATTTTCTAATGATCGTTTAGAAAGGAGTGTATTTTACTTCTTACTAAACGATAATTTACGAGTAATATAAAAAAAAACACTCATCGTTACTGCATTAATTATAAATGTGTTCTTTAAGAGCAATATTGCAGACTAGATAAAGATGTTATTATTAATATTGTTACAAGTATGGAAGAAGTAGAGACGTACATGTTATTATAAGTAAAGTAGGATATTATCATACTTGTTATGGTATTAATATTATCGTATGACAAAAGATGATGTACGTGATACTGTTTGTAACGTATGGCTATAATAAATGTTATGAAATATCCATAAATCGTATCGTATTTTCGCTCCTATTTTTGATGTCACTAAATGGTCATTTGTCACTTGTTAGTCTCTCACGAAAATAAAAACGATCTCCAAATAGATTCAAATCAAACATACTAGAATCGATTCTCGATTAAATTGAGCATTAACAGATTATAACAGATATTTTCGATTAATCGCGACATTTTCAAACATGCTTAATATAGACACAGAACAATATTGACGGTAATTTACCGTAAATACAAGTAATTGTAGAAACATTATTAAATTAATAAACATAACATCACGCCTGTATTTCCCAGAAGGAGTAGGCAGAGGTGTGTAGTACTGTTATGTTGTAATAGGGGGTGCACGTATTGCCAAACACCGGGCATTTTTGGATCGATTAATTGAATTGATGGAGTGTTATAAGTCGATATCAGGACATCGGAAAAGGATTATTCAGATCTGTATCGATCTGGAAAATTGATTATTTTACTATAAACAATCGATTAAACGATTACTAATCGACATGCCTACTTAGTACTTTCATCTCCCACTCTGTCAAAACGTTACATTCATTTGTCTATGATTACATTGGTTGGCGTTGTTTTGCTCTTTGTAATTATATCGGTGTTTTTGGTTACTTTCGGGACTATATATTGAACTTTATGACTTGGCTATTTTAACGAACTCTGATTGCGTTCAAGAACGACTTACCTTGCTGTGATTTTCGGAACTGTGTACCGGTCAAACGATAACCTAGCATTCATAATTCATAAACGGACTTACGTATACGCAATGGAAAGTGTATTTTGTGTATTTTGTGTAAATTGCTGCTCTGCTGGTGGTTCAATGTTGTTGAAAGATGAACAGAGAAGCAATCGTGCAATATTGCTGTAATTGCATCGTTGTATGCTGAACCATCGGTTGCTGCGCCCATGTTATGACCTATTTGGTACTTGAGCTTTGCGAGACATCAAAATAATATCGACATCATTGCGCAGTTTTTAGACAATATTCTAATTTCCAATTTAGAAGACGAACAATAAACATGAAATTAAATCTGTGTTTCATTTCTAATTCAAACATAATAAGTTAATGTAGGTGTAAAAACAACTTATAATACGAATTAGGTACTAAGTTGGTAACGCTGTTTTCATAGACACACGTTTGAACAGCGCCGTCCAAGAGCACATGCTTGCAATTGGACTAGATAGTAGTCCATAATAGTCACGCCGTTCAAGCGCGCAATGTTAAAACTTGGTGGAAACCGTGGTTGTTACGCTCGCTGTTCGACGGTATGTCTAGCGGCGTGACTGAAGCCTAAATCCTTATACATTTAGGTACTAGGTATCTTACCGTACCGTATATGCTAATGACAACATTTAAATGCTAACAGCCATTATATACATACATTTTTATGTTTTAATAATACACACAAACATTTTCTCTTATTTCAAAACCCATGCTAAGAAAGCAGGTATGTTAACTAGATTATATGCATTTATACGTTACAATTACATACACTTAGCTTTAAAAACAAAAACTGCATACCTAATTATCTAGATAGGTACTAAAAATAGTTAAATGTTTAGGACATCGTTTTCCAGTTTGTTAAAATCACTCGGAGCTATGAAAAAACGTAATATTCGTGGTACGATTATAACCTCAAAATCTGACACTTTTTTTGAAATATATCTATTGTGCAGCTAGTCCGCTATAAAAATAAGATCATATAGGAAGTTACTAATGATCGACAATAAAACACATAATTTTCCGATTCTCTTGGTTCCAGGGCGAACTAGGTATGGGCGCTGAGCAATGTCCTTTACATTAAATAGTTTACTTCACAAAAATCAATTCGGTTTCTCAAAAGGGGTCGCTCGACAACTGATATTGGTGTTGAGCTGATTAAATATATTTTCAATGCATGGGATAATTTACAGGATGCTATGTTGTATGGATGGGTATGTTTTGCGACCTATCCAAAGCCTTGTGCCAAAGGATTGTGTTCACCATGAAACATTAATCAGAAAACTACAACACTACTGTGTAAGAAGTAATGCTCTTAAATTAATTGTTTCATATATAAGTAACAGAACGCAAAAAGTTGTCATTAATAGTATGAGCTCTTCCGGGTCGATAATACAAATGGGCGTGCCTCAAGGATCAATTCTCGGCCCTTTTCTGTTTCTCGTATATATTAATGATCTACCTTACATAGTAGGGAATAACCATAATATAGTATTATTTGCTGATGCGATGACACTACATTAATTTTCAAATTAAAACGACAATTATTAAAATATGACGAAGTAAACAACGCTATATCTAAATTAGTAAATTGATTCAATGTTAATAAATTGCATTTAAATGGCACTAAAATGAAATGTATGAAATTTATGACTCCAAATGTCAAACAATTAAGTACTAATGTCATTTTAAATGAGGAGGAAGTGAGTCTTGTTGATACCACCATTTTGCTTGGAATAACACTAGACGCGAAACTTCAATGGAGTGAAAAAGATTAGAAATGTTACCAGTGTGGAAATTTACTTTAGCTATTTCCATAGCATAATGTCGTATGGTATTTTGCTATGGGGACACGCGACTGACACTGAAATTATATTTGTTTTACAGAAGAGGGCCATAAGAGCAATCTATTATTTAAAACCTAAAGAATCGCTCCGACAAAAATTTAAGGAAATAATATATTAACTTTGACCTCTCAATACATTTATGAAAATGTAATGTACGTACACAAAAATAAACGTAGTTATACAAAAATAAGTGATATTCATTCTGTAAATACTAGAAACAGGCACAAGCTAGTAGTACCAGTTACTCGACTCCACCGAATCAGTAATTCATTATTGGGACGATGTATACGCTTTTACAACAAAATCACAGAAAATATACAAAAATTGACCTGCTCAATGTTCAAAAATTTTATAAAAAGTTTGTATAAAAAGGGTTATTATAATATTAAGGAATTTATGGATGATAATAACCCCTGGGCATAAGGTGATCGCTACCAAGCTATTTCTAATTTATTTTGTGTGGTTAATTGTGTAACATATGCACATGATTGTAAACTGTTATTTAAAAAAAAAGTCCCGCTGGGTTTCTTGCTAGTTCTTCCCAGGACAGAGATTTTTTTTCGAACCAGTGGTAATTAAACAAAAGAGTGACTTTCAGTAAGTATTATTTATAATCTATATTGGAAAAAAAGTTTCTGTTTCTACTGACATAACTCATAGCCTCAGTTGTATTAAAAGAGATCACCCTGGTGAGGATGGAATTATAGCAGAGCTTCTGAAACCGAGTAGAAAACCAGTACTTGCAGTCTTCAGAAGGTCTTGTCCTCTCCATGGTGGCACTACTCCGGAGGTGTGGAACAGAAGTGCGGTGGTCTTGTTATTTAAGAAAGCGACAACGCTCTCTTAAAAAACTACAGACCGATTCTACGTGCTGTTTTCGAGAGTCATGATGAATCGTATCGCACGCAGACTCGACGACTTCCAGCCTACCGATACAGCCGGTTTCCAAAAAGGCTTTAAAGTACCATAGACCACATACATACCCTTCGGTAAATTGTATAGAAGACCGAAGAGTACAAGCTGCCACTTTGCCTTGCATATGTGGACTATGAGAAAGCCTTTGATTCCGTCGAAATGTGGGTTCAGCGGTGCCAAGTTGATTGTCGGTATATCGAAGTGCTGAAGTGTTTGTACAGTAGGGCTACGATGAATATTCGAGCACAGAACCAGAGTACGAAACCTAAGTAAGACAGGATGACATTAAATCCCCGAAACTCTTCACCGCTGCATTGAAAGTTACGTACGAAGTAAAGTTTTCAAGTTACTGAACTGGAAAGGATTCGGTATTAACATCGACGACGAGTGACGAGTACATCACTCACCTTCGATTTACTGACGATATAGTCCTTATGCCAGAATCTCTGAAGAAACTGAATTCTGCTTTTGGGAGCTTACGTCACATCTCGTTAGGCATACCTCAAAACTTCTTAACAAAATTGTACAACCAGTGCATGTTGCCAGTGATGACTTATGGATCTGAGACGTGATCTTTCACTGCTGGCCGTATGAGGAAGCTAAAGATCGCTCAACGAGCTCTGTAGAGGGCTATTATCAGGGTTTCTCTGCATGACACTTAAAAATTAGGATACTGCATTAGAACCAGAGTAACGGACATATCCCAACGGATTACTAACTTGAAGTGTCAATAAGCCAGCCATATAACTCAAAGAACCAACAAACGATGGGAAAAAAAGGTTCTCGAGTGGCATCCTCGTACCTGTAGACGAAGTGTAGGGCATCCTTCACTAGGTGCAGTTAATAACTTGGTAAGACATGCAGAATATCGATGGAAACAGGTGGCTCAGGACCGTGCTTTGTGACATTCCTCGGGGTAGGCCAATGTTCAGCAATGAACTTGTAAAATGATTACTGATGATGTAAAATTAAGATCTATGTAATTTATTAACTTTATGTGACAATACAGAACACTAATCGATAAAAAAAAAACATAAAATAATAAAATAGATTATGGTTGAAACATTGCAGGATGATAGAAAAACCCATATTTATGGCTATGTATTTGGTTAAGGTACAGGAGATCTTAGTGGTTTTCGCTAATGTAATGGATGTTTTTTTTTATGTAAAGAACAAAATCTTAAACATGTACCTTGACATTTCTTAACGTTTTCAAATGAGTAGGATAACACCTGTTTTCTCTATCCTGCAAGCCTAATTGTCCATGCATATTTTTACCCCACCCAAACACTGCACCTGATCTGTAATAAAAACTAAGATAAGTGTGTAAAAGACAATATTTATTGACTTATGAATGTTCAGACAATGTATCGAATTTCGTAATATTAACACATTTTGATTAGTAAAGTGTGAGGGCAAGTCGCTTAGTTGTACCACAGAATAGATAATAATAGTACAAGTAGTTGTACTTGCTTCAGTATTTGTTAGAGCGCGAAGCGTATGTTCTCAACTACGTCTTCGGCGCCTATGCACTGCTTACGTGTTGTCCTACTGTGAATAGTCTGAAGGCTATGCAGTAGTTCCCAGCTTATCCTTGTTTGTCAACATCTTGTCTTATATGCACTGGTAGTACAAAAGGCAGGAGCAAGTGATCAACTATGTTTGAACACAAATACCAATGATTAGTGCTTGTGAAAGTATATTGTTTGCAAAAGGTCTTTTTCTTTTTACTTTTATCAACGGTAAGAGTAGAAAAAAAAAATACATTTCCTTTAAATAAATTGTCATGTCTGGCAAAATTCATAGTCACTAACTGCTACAACATTAATCAAATTTAACATCTTTGAAGTGTATATAATGGATTTAAGTTTTAATTAAAAATCATTCCATTACTTTGAATAAAACTAAAATAATTTTACGTATTTCATCTAGTTTATATTTAACTTATTTTTTATTCTTGGGCTAGGATATTATCTGTGAATCATCTGAAACATCAGGGAATCAAAAATGGCTTAAAATTAAACCCAGTAAAATTCATTTAATTCTTTGTAGTAGTATTTCCACAAATATATTATATAGAAAAGATCATTCTTCCCTACTGTTAAAAATATGATACCTATTTGTAGCAAGGTCCAATGGCCATTAACAAGACTAAGAGAAAATGCCTTGGTATCATTAAATGTATGGTATTTATCATGTTTAATTTGATTTTTTTTAATTCTTGATGTTTTACGCTTTACCAATGGTTAATGGGGCGGGGGGCGTATTCCCCTTACTTATTATTTTTGGTCAGAATCCTTATTGCACTGTTTTGTTTAGTAACTTAGATTTTTTAGGTGTCTCTTGACAAAATGAATATACACTAAGACTCAAAAGCCATGGACAGTGTGTAATACACAAAATAAAACATATATAATAGTTATTCTGATTAAAGACCTTCATTCCTTTCCAAAACGGCTCAAAACAGGTATAGCAATATAACTGTGTACCTATTCTACTTGTTTAGTCAATTTCTTACTAATTTTCGCTCATATATACCTGGAAAGTTCTCACAACCCTATATGTTGGCCCTATGCTTTGGCTTTGCTCTCCTAAATTAAAAAAATTTAGCCATAGTAGCAAGATAATTACAATTATAAAAATATTACTTACTTAGATAGAACAAATGTGTGGTTACTGCCACATGCCACCAATGAAATAGGTACGCCGAGTAAGGATGTAATCTGTTGAGGTGTGGTTTCCTTGTTTGTCATATTGCCCAAGCCACACTGCCCATAACTATTTGCTCCCCAAGAATAGAGGTCACCATCTGATATATTACAAAATATGTATTAAGTAGAATATGTTACTCAAATAATTTTAATTCACAATGATAAATGGGTACATATTATAAGAATATTTTAGTTCATTATATAGTTCATTTTTTGTGTTCCTTAATTTGAATTGTTGTGGAATATTACATACTATATAAAATAGAATTAATCATATTATGTCATAGTATCCATGCAATATGAAAAATATTATAGTCAACTGCCACAACTATGGTTTATTATATTAAATAACAGACTCTCTTAAGTTGCCATGTGGCGGTAGGTCAATAGCACAAATAATATTCAAATAAAATTCTTGAAATTGTAATTTAGTTATTACTTACTGTTTGTCAATGCAATTGAGTGATATGATCCACATGCAATCTGTATAACATTTCTGGTAGCCAAGAATTTGATAATTTTTGGTTTATCTTGAGCATGGGCACCAAGACTGCTTCCTAATTGTCCCATACTATCAGAACCCCAGCTGAAAGGTTGACCCCATTCATCAAGGGCCATTGAATGTTGGATGCCACATGCTACTGTTGATATTGCACAACCTTTGAAAGTTTCCACTAAATCTAAAATTATTATAAACAAAAATGTTTATTCACTGTATGAATGATTGAAAGGATGTATTAATTTTAAGCATATTTTTTATTTTGATGCAGGAGATGGGCAGCAGCATCTTCCTGATATTAGTCAAAATAACAATAAAAAAAAACTGCGGTTGCCAACCCGCTCGCCAAGCGTGGCAACTATGGCAACATACCCCCCCATGAGCAATGACAATAATAAACGGCCCCCAGTCCCCGGCGGCCCCGCTATTCCTGGCTACGGTGGCAACCATGGTAACGGCGGGGCAGGGGGTGCTAAGAATCTCCGGTGGAGGTTCGGTTGCCACCTACGACGACTCGACCTGGCAACATACAACGCACGCACCCTGAGGACTGACGAGAAGATTGTGGAGCTGGAAGAAGAGATAGACAAGTTACACTGGCATATTATAGGATTATCCGAAGTCCGAAGAGAGGGGGAGGACACGGTAATCCTCGAATCCGGCAACTTGCTCTATTACCGGGAGGGCGACCATCTGTCCCAAGGAGGTGTCGGATTTATCGTCCACAAGTCTCTCGTTAACAACGTTGTAAAGATCGGGAGTGTGTCGACGAGGGTTGCGTACCTTATACTCAGAATCACCAAACGGTATTCGCTGAAGGTCATACAGGTTTACGCACCAACCTCGGCACACCCCGATCAGGAGGTGGAGAAAATGTATGAGGATATCTCTAGAGCCATGCATTCCTCCAAAACCCAATATACGGTGTTAATGGGAGACTTCAATGCAAAACTAGGCACAAGAGAGAATGGTGAGCTGAAAGTAGGGAAATTTGGAATAGGGCAACGGAACCAAAGGGGCCAGCAGCTGGCCGACTTCATGGAGAAAGAGGGACTCTTTATGATGAACTCTTTCTTCCAGAAGCGGCCCCACAGGAAGTGGACCTGGTCGAGCCCCGACGGTTCGACAAAAAATGAGATTGACTTCATTATGACGACCAGACGACAACTGTTCAGTGATGTCTCAGTGATCGCGAGGGTGAAAACCGGCAGCGATCACCGAATGGTCAGAGGCACACTGAACCTAAACGTTAAGTTGGAGAGGTCTCGTCTAATGAAGTCAACGCTCCGTCCCCCTCGTGCTCTAATCCAAAGTCCCGAAACCTTTCAGCTCGAGTTACAAAACCGTTTTCAGTGCCTAGAAGACTGCAATGATGTGGACGATTTGAATGACAAGCTCGTGGAAACTGTCCATGCGGTCGGAGCTAAGTTCTGCAAGACCCGCCGCAGAAGAACACAAAAACTCTCCGATCACACTCTTAATCTCATGGCTGTTAGACGGGAGATGAAGCTACATTCTTCAACAGATTTGTCAGCATACAGGCAACTGAACAGAGAGATCTCCAAATGCATGCGGCGGGACTTACGCAACTTCAATACAGCTCGTATTGAAGAAGCGATCGAGCGGAACCAAGGCTCCAAAGTCTTTGCCAGAGATCTGTCTGACAGAAAGCGCCAACTGTCAAAGCTGAAGACAGAATGTGGCAGCATCGTTTCCGGGGCACCTGAGATTTTGAGTGAGATTGAGAGGTTCTATGGGCAGCTGTACACGTCATCGTTGGAGCCGCACGCAAGTGTGAGCAACGATCCAAGAGCGAGTCTTATCCGACATTATTCCGATGATATCCCGGACGTCAGTCTGAGCGAGATTAGAATGGCTCTCCAGCACCTTAAAAACGGCAAGGCCCCAGGCGAGGATGGAATTACAGCGGAGCTTCTGAAAGCGGGTGGAAAACCGGTACTTGAAGTCCTTCAGAAGCTCTTTAATTCCGTCCTCTATGGTGGCATTACACCGGAGGCGTGGAGCAGAAGTGCGGTGGTCTTGTTCTTCAAGAAAGGCGACAACGCTCTCTTGAAGAACTACAGACCGATTTCCCTTCTGAGCCGCGTCTACGTGCTGTTTTCGAGAGTCATTACGAATCGTCTCGCGCGCAGACTTGACGACTTCCAGCCTCCCGAACAAGCCGGTTTCCGAAAAGGCTTTAGCACCATAGACCACATACATACCCTTCGGCAAATTGTACAGAAGTCCGAGGAGTACAATTTGCCACTATGTCTGGCGTATGTGGACTATGAGAAAGCCTTTGATTCCGTCGAAATTTGGGCGGTGCTGCAGTCCCTTCAGCGATGCCAAGTTGACTGTCGGTATATCGAAGTGTTGAAGTGCTTGTACAGTAGGGCTACGATGGCTATCCGAGTACAGAACCAGAGTACGAAACCTATCCAATTGCAGAGAGGTGTAAGACAGGGTGACGTCATATCCCCGAAACTCTTTACCGCTGCATTGGAAGATGTTTTCAAGCTTCTGGACTGGAAAGGATACGGTATCAACATCAATGGCGAGTACATCACTCACCTTCGATTTGCCGACGATATAGTCCTTATGGCAGAATCGCTGGAGGACCTAAGCACTATGCTCAATGACCTCAATAGTGTTTCCCAACGGATAGGTCTTAAGATGAACATGGACAAAACAAAGATCATTTAATGTCCATGTCACACCTATGCCGGTAGTTGTTGGGAACACTAAGCTCGAAGTTGTTGACGAGTATGTTTACCTGGGACAAATAGTCCGACTAGGTAAGTCCAACTTCGACCGAGAGGTCAATCGACGGATTCAACTCGGTTGGGCAGCGTTCGGGAAATTACGGCACATCTTCTCGTCAGGTATACTTCAAAACTTGAAAACGAGACTGTACACCCAGTGCGTGTTGCCAGTGATGACATACGGAACTGAGACGTGGTCCTTCACTGCTGGCCGGATGAGGAAGCTCAAGGTCGCTCAGCGAGCTATGGAGAGGGCTATGCTCGGAGTTTCTCTGCGTGATAAACTCAGAAATGAGGATATCCGCAGTAGAACTAGAGTGACCGACATAGCCCAACGGATTAGTAAGCTGAAGTGGCAATGGGCCAGCCATATAGCTCGAAGAACCGACAACCGATGGGGAAGAAAGGTTCTCGAGTGGCAGCCTCGTACCGGCAGGCGAAGTGTAGGGCGTCCCCCCACTAGATGGAGTGACGACCTGGTAAGATATGCAGGAAGTCGATGGATGCAGGTGGCTCAGGACCGTGCTTTGTGGCATTCTTTGGGGGAGGCCTATGTTCAGCAGTGGACTTGTGAAGGGCTGTAATGATGATAATGATGATATTTTTTATTTTATAGAATAAGGGTGACAAACAATCACACAGTCAACCTGATGGTAAGTGAATATTGTGACCCATAGACACCTACATCTATTCATGATTAAGAACCAAAATGTTGATGCATTGTCACCCCTGAAGACTAAGTTAGTTTGCTTTGTTACAGGTTAAAAATAGAGACTATTTTTGGTTATCTACACCCACTTTATTTTATTAAGCTATTATTAAGCTGCTATGTCACACTGGCATTCTGTGAGAGTGTGGTCCTTCCTTCGTTACTAGTTCTATGTGATGTGATATATCTAGTTTAGATCATATCTGTTTATAATTTATTATTGTATTGATTAGATTTTTAGTTTATTAATGTACTAATTAGTTCAGTGATCAAAATATTAAGGAAATTTATAAGAGAAATAGATGAAAAAATCAAGAATAAACATGTATTATTACATTTAGTTTGTAAGGGGGCTACACCAACAATTTCTCTAAATAAGCCTGATCTAGGTTCAGTGCACTCTTGATTAACAGACAATGGTTTAAATAGCCAATCAAAACACTAAAGAGAAGCATTACCACTCCAAGAGCATATATTCCAAGCTCTTCAAATGAGTATGGGCATATCTTCCAAGTTGGTACTTTCTGTCTACCTGGCTCAATCATGAAAAGGCAATTCAAGCCAAACAATACATTACCTATTATGTTCTAACAGTAGTTATTATAAGGCAGTTACCATCATTTAAATAGTGTTCAAGAAGTTAGTTAGTTTAATTGCCAGCTGAGTACTATTGAAATTGTTAACTACATTTAAAGTGCATTAAACATTCACCATCTTATTACAAAAAGTAACTTATATTTAGTCTCAGGTTTAAACTAGAGTTGGTTTCAATAAAGATTTCTCATGGAAAATATTAAAAACAAAGTTTAAATTTAAATAAAGTGTTGAGAGGTCCCCGACTAGATGTAGTGATGACCCGAAAGATGCAGATTTTCAAAACATGGATTGAACTCTATTAGAGCAAGTAGAAAGAGTTGTTACACTCTTCCTACTGCATTAATCTTTTTAATAGTAAGAGAGGTCTTTCACCAGTATTTAACACATCACACCTCCACTCAAATGGTGTCATAACTCAAAAATATTAAAAACCTTTTGATTATTTTGTTAGGTTCAAAAAACTTCAAAATTTCATATCAAAGAGTGTCTTAACTAGTGATTTAACTATTTGTTGCTAAATGGCATTAGTGTCATTATAATGTTGACTGGAACTAATAACATATCCAACTTAAATAGTGTCACATCACTTGGCCAAGGTGTTTGTGTATCTAAATATTGTTTAAACTGTTGTTTGTGGATTTATGACAGTATATGCTCTGAGTGGACATAAGGACAGTTTATGTGATGAAGATTAGTAAAGATCACAATAGTTTTTGCAATAAAACTGATTTGTGTCCAGCTATGACGAAATATGTGATTATGCGAACAAAAACCATATTATTTTTGCAATAAGTGTTCTGGGTCAAGTTATAACATTACATGTGATAGGGATTATTTAAAAACAAAACTATTGTTTTCAATGAGTGCACTGTGTATGATTTAAGACTATGTATGATTTAAATAAACTAAAAATACTATATTGTATCTTGTTATAATAGTGTACTTGATTAAGGTTAGTTGAAAAGTAATTGATATCTCAATCAAAACTAATCTGTATAAGGTATTGTAAAGAGTTACTTTATTATTGTTTATGTGTCTAGTTCAATAAAGATATCACATTTTTTTTACTAATTTAAGATGTTTTTATCATTAGGTGGGTGCATCTGTGAGTAGATGCAATATCCAGATCAAGTAAAGTATTGGCTTTTTGCTTGTAGGCAAACAAACAGCACAGTCAAGAAACAGATGACTCAATTTTCATACCAATATGTCATTCAGGATCAATGAAAGATAGCTGAGACAAGGAAAATATTTTAAATTTAACTTTCACAAATAATAATGATTTGCCTGAACCATACAATAAGTAAAATATAGAACGTAATATGCAACTGAAGTTGAAAAAATAGATGATTCTGTTATAGTTCCAAATTATGACACAACTCATAGAAAAGTAAAATAACATCATTCCTCATTGTTGATATTCATAATCAACTAGCACTTTGAGTTATTCATCATCTAACTGAAGTTCTGTATCGTCCAGCTCAAGTTCATCCTTATCCAACTTATCATCTACATGTCACCTAATACAACATCAAGTGACAAAAATTTCAGCTTCACAAGAACCTAATATAGGATATAACACAAGAAACCACAAATACACATAAGAAATGGCGTGCTGAAGGAAAATGGAAGCAAAATAACTTAAACAAACATTTAAGACCAATAGAAGTTAAGTATTGGTATATACCAAAGCATAAAAACCTTGAAAAAATAATTATACTTTCTACTTTATGGTTGAAGGTTCATTGCAAAAGACCTGCAAAATTATGTTTAAAAATACTGGTGGTTTTATGAAAGAAGATCAAAAACAAAAACATAATAAACATTATACTGCAAACGAAACATTTAAAAATGAAATTATGGATCATATAAAATGAATACCAAAGATTGAAAGCCACTGGCTCAAACTACACAGAAGTAAATTGATGGAGGGAAGACCATTGCAGACTTACATGGACCAGTGTAAACAAAATGGTCAGGGTTATGGGAATTGTTATGAATTTAATTTAGGTTTCTTCGTGCCAAACAAAGACAGATGTGAACTACTTGTAGCTTGTAAAAATTCTTATCTTGAAGATAAACTTAAACTTAAGAAAAAATATGATAAAAAAGTTGAATTATATTACTAAACATGTTAATTTTGTTACTTATTACATATAGTTAAGTTTAATAAGTTAGTATTATTTTTTGAGTTATGCCCTAAATAGTGAGAAATAAAATTAAGGCAATTTTTAAACACATTTTTCTCGACAATTTGTATTTTGGAATTATGACACTATTTGAGCGGATGTACAACATTAATATAATCAAATGAAATACTCAACATAACTTAAATGTTAGATTTTGTATTCACAATAACAAAAAATCGAACAACATATTATCATGACATTAAGTTGACACCTAACAATAATATACCTGGAGATTCTCCATCAGAACTTTCTGTTTGACGTCCAAGTTGTCCCACATCATTGCTGCCACAAGAATATAAGTGCCCATGATTTGTAAGGTACAAAGTATGAAATTCTCCAGCGGCTACAAGTTGCAGATGATTGCTCTCCTTCCATTTTGATAATGTTGGTTTTATAACCTACAAAAAATATATAATATTAGTGCATTTTAATTAATAAACGAAAATAACATTCATGCAGTTGTTCCATTAATTTACACTTAATTTAATATAAAGTAGAATAAAGCATGTCATTTTATCTTCATTCTACATTAAATACAAACTTTATTTTCCATGCTTACCAAATCTGCAGCTGTTCCTGGACCATTTAAACACAATTCATGATGAGTTGCGTTACCCCAACAAAACATCTTTGTTGATAAAAAATTTGTCACACGATGAATTTCACTAAATATAACCTACTCAAACTTTTAGCATAACATATGCTTACAATTAGAAATGTATGTGAAAGTTAGTAATTAGTATTAATTCAACAAAACTACCGGAAATATTCATTTAACATTGTACGGAGTAATTTATGTAAAGCAGTGAGAAGGAATCTAGAATCGAGAACAATCTTATATTCTTATTTTTCATATATTGCTGACAACAGAAATTTGACAATTTGACATTATAAGCATAAATTGTTGCTACATTTACATATGATAACATAAAAAATTAGATTATTAAGGCTGGCACATATCACCCGTTTTGACCCGTTAAAAATAATTGAACAGAACATTAAGTTTACCAATGTTAAATAAGATTTGTGTTTAAAGTAAGTTAAAAAATTAACATCACATTTTCCACTTATAACTTATTTACGTAACTAGTCATCTGGTCCACTACGCTAATCTAGTGCGTGTTAGCGGACATCATATGTCCTCGAAATAATTTATTATTGAACAATGAAGATGCATGTTTCCTCACGGTAATTCAACGAGCTTAATCCTTTCGGTTTATACAAAGGTATTCTGTGCTTGCTCCTTAAAGGCCGGCAATGCACCTGCAAATCTCCGAAGTTGCCGCTGTTCATGGATGACGGTCGACACTTACCACCAGCTGAGCGGCATGCTGGTGTGCCACCTCTTCTACAGAAAAAAAAAATACCTTCACCGCCAAGCACATTGGCAAATTAGCACTTAAAATATCAATAATTATGAGCTTATCTCCCTTTGAGTGCTTATACCCCTTACGGTCAAATATACTGAAACGCTACTCAATTTAAAGATGTCATTAAGACTCGTGGTGGCATAGCCACGTTGACTTTATGTGATAGAGACAGCATGAGATTTGACGGCATCTTAAAATTTAGCAGCATTTGAGTATTTGGGCATTAGTCACTTATTTATTTACCTATTTATTTTATCTTTTAGAAGACACCTCAAAGACTACAATGAGTGGACTTAATACTTTATGACATTCCCTACCAAACAACGACGAGGGAAAGAGAAATAGAGAAACAAATATTGGTAAGTTAAATCTCATACTAACTATTTTATTGAAATATGAGAAACTGCATTAATACAATGTTAATTACTAAAGTCCAATCGCGGAGGACGAAGAATTTCGTACATTGAACTGTCATTACCCGTCTCTGTCACTCCCGCGTAAATACAATGAGTCTCGCTCGCACAGATACAATGGCCGCCGTCCTCAGGGATTGTAAACCTTTTACTGGAGACTATAAGGTTTGTTCTTGTTTGCATAATGTGGTTTTGGTTGGCCTTGAGTCACGACAAAAAGTCCTTGGTTTGCTTGACCTTGACGTAATTAATAATGTTTAAATAACGAATTTAAATAACGAATTCTTAATTATTTTAATTAAAATACTTAAATCCAATGATTTTATAATTGCAAAAAGAATAAATAAATTAATTGATGTATAAAATTTCGAAATATTATTGGTTTATTTAAATGCGCACGACTAACAAACAGCCCTTTCATGGACACTCTGACTGAGCCGGCGCAAACCGGTTTGTACCCCGACGGAGCGTCGGTGAACCTGTCGGTGAGAGCTCACGCACACATCTCTGCGCTATGTATGGGTGTGTTCGTAGCGAGCCGTTTGTATGTAGCTTCCCCTCTGGTCGGTTTCTTTACTCATGTGATTCCATCTTGGAATGCGTTAGTGATCGCTCAGTTTTCGGACACAGTTATTTACCTATTCTTAGTTTGTTGTTGTTTGTTAGTTTTTGTCATCTTGTTTTAATTATTAAGTGGTTTTGTTAATTTGTTAAGTTTTATTCACTCTTTTAAAATGGAACCAGAGCCGTCTACCTCGCGTCCATTCAAGGAGTTTGTTTCTCCGCGGAAGAAAAGAAAAATGTCACACTTTAGTGTATCTGAGAAGGTAATGATTATTAACGTGTTTAAATACGTTAAAAAATCCTGGCCTGCTGATAAATATCCTTCAAAAAAGATATGAAGGACAAAACAGCCGATATCTTGGGCATTTCGAAATCGGCCATATATCGTATCTTAAAAGAATATACCGACACAGATACCGTCAAGCCAGCTGCTTCACCGAAAAAACGACTCTCATTAATTGAAAAGATTGATGGGTTCGATAAATCGTGCATTAGACGAATAGTGCACAGCTTTTATTTAAAAGGAGAGTTACCTACAGCAAAAAAGGTGCTACATATCATAAATACAGACGAATCCTTACCAAACATGGGTTTGACATCGTTGAATAAATTACTGAAAGATTTGAAGTTTAAGTATGTCAAACGAAGGAGAAATAACGGGTTAATCGACAGAGATGACATAGCATTGTGGCGTATCAAATATTTGAAAAATATGAAAACTTACCGACAGCAACAACGACCAATATATTACTTGGATGAAACTTGGGTGAATGCGGGTAAGACTTATATTTATTATTTTCTAACTGACTTAAATCTATACTAAGATTATGAATGTGAAAGTAACACTGTCTGTCACCTTTACCCGCCTAAATGGCTATTAATTGTTGAAACCTTTGATTAGTTTATTCATTTACTTTTCAGGGCACACTGTTGGCAAGGTGTGGGAAGACACTACAGTGCAGTCACGAAAACAAGCATTTTTGGAGGGTTTGTCGACGGGTGCCAAGAATCCTACTTTCAAAGGCAACCGGCTAATTATTTTACATATAGGAGGTGAACAAGGATTCGTGCCAGAATCGGAATTGGTGTTTGAATGCAAAGGTACAGGCGATTATCACGAATCGATGAATGCAGCCAAGTTCGAACATTGGTTTCAAGCAATGCTACCGAGACTTGAGCCAAACGCAGTGGTTGTCATGGATAATGCCAGCTACCACTCAAGACGCCAGGAAAAAATCCCAGTTACTAGTTGGAAAAAAATAGATATTCAAGAATGGCTTTCATCAAAGCAAATTTCTTTTGAGGCAAAGGAAACAAAAGTCCAGCTCTTGAAAAAGGTGAAAGATGTCAAGATTCAGTACCAATCGTACGTGGTCGATGAGCTGGCAAAAGCAGTTGGTGTGGAGGTATTGAGATTACCTCCGTACCATTGCGAATTGAACCCCATCGAACTAGTGTGGGCAGACGTCAAGGGGTATGTGGCCCGAAAAAATACAACATTTAAGATGGCAGATGTTAAAAAGCTGCTCCAGCAGGCTTTAGGCAACATTTCAGCAGAAAAATGGCAAAATTGCATCAGTCACGTAAAAAAAGAGGAATCGAAATTAGCTAGACTAGATGATACAAAACTGTTTATTCTTTTGTGATAAATGTGACAGGCGAGACGTCTTCGGAAAGCAGTTACTCCGATACAGAGGAATCGGATTCTGATTTTTGATTTTTTTTCTGCCGAATTAGTAGATACTTGTCTAGATTTTTATTACTTGTAATATAAAATCTAAATAAATAATTTATATAATAATAATAACTATATTTCATAAGTTGGTAAATTTTCTTTCTTCTTCAAATATTTCATGTAAACCGCACTAAATACAAAAATGTTTATGACCACTGTCACTAGGTAAAGAGGTCATTGTACGAAATTCTTCGTGTTCCGCGACTGGACTTTACAAAACAAATTAAAAAAAACGGCGTTTAACTATAAATTTCTGACAACTATGCAATATATAGATATGTATGACCGTCCCGAAAAAAAAATTAATTGTGTGACTTCAACCTCAATCGGTTAAACATTTCGGAAGTTACATGATCACTAACTATACGAGGGCGGCACAGAAAATTTCGGGAATCAAGGAAGTGACACAACATTACTATTTAAAAATGTATTTATTGCTTTTCGAAGTATTCTCTGCGAAATTTGACACATTTTTCCATATGATGGAACCAATCATTGAAGCAACCATTCTATTCGGAAGTTGGGGTCTCCAAAATGGTCGTTTTGTAGGCGTCCACAGCTTCTTCAGGTGATGAAAATCTCTGTCCACGCAATTTATTCTTTATTTTAGGGAAAGTATAGAAATCATTAGTGCTTAGGTCGGGGCTGAACGGCGGATGGTCTAATAATTCTATGTTTCTTGCTCTAAAAACTCTTTTGTTCTGTGTGCGGTGTGAGAACTCGCATTGTCGTGATGGAGGATGATGCGGCGGTTGCAGTTCTCTTTACGCGTATATCCAGGATTCGTCACCTGATACGATGTTGTATACAGCATTTGAGGATCCTGCGTGGAATCTTTCGAGAGTTCTGACGCACCAAGTAACGCGAGCCGCTTTTTGCTCTTCACAGAGCGAATGCGGTATCCATCGGGAAAACAACTTTTTTACACCTAATTGTTCATGCAAGATTATTTGTATTTGACTCATGCCAATATCTAAAGTTGCCTGAATTTCGCGGTATGTCACATACCGATCTTCCTCAATCAGCTTACGCACAGCATCAATGTTTTCTTGGGTGACTGCAGTTTTTGGACGACCTTGACGGGGATCATCACTGAGCTTGACACGTCCACGTTGAAATTCAGCAAATCAGCGATAAATTGAGGTTTTGGATGGGGTTTCATCACCAAATGCAGAAATCATCCGATCAACATACTGTTTTTGTGTTAAACCACTTCGAATGTCATAATAAATCATCACTCTTGAATTTTCTCGAGTCAATTCCATTTTCTCAACGACTAAACAAGTTTGACAAAACAAGGTTTTGTCAAACTTGTTTAGTCGTTAATAAACAAAAAAAAACCAAAAACAAGACCGAGAATCTTTTTTTAAATAAATAAATGGTATTCAATTTTAAAAAACCAAGAGCTTTTCAATTAAAAAGATTTTAATATGACAGGAACAGTGGAAATATTCCATTCCCGATACTTCTAGTGCAGCCTATGTATACAGGGTTATTTTTCAAAGAGTAGCCAAATTTTATATTGTAGTTCAAATAAATAAATTAT